GGGGAGTGGGAAGAGCAGTCTTTAGAGTTATACCAACTGTGCATCAATTCCAACTCCATACTTTCCCAGGTGTGTGACCCTGAGCCTCAGCTTCATAGTCTACAGAATAGGATGGCCACAGTAATTCTGACCTCAGAGAGAGGTCATGAGCCCCACCCCAGACAAGCCCCATCCCTGATGCTGAGCCCTGCCCTCTGAGGGGAGGAGCCACCTGGGATCCCATTGAGGCTGGGAAGACCTCTTTTCTCAGCCATCTATGCAGCTCCCACTGTCCCCTAGGTACTTTGAGACCTGTCAGAAACCAGGAGGTGGAGAGCTGATGGGGTAAGGAGCCAGGCTATCCAGCTGCCCCTGGTCCTAACAATAACTAGAAAGTCACGGAGCCTCTCTGAACCTCAGCAGCAGAATGAGAAGATTGTGCTCCATCAGCATTTCCTAAGCAGTGTTACTAGGTCCAAGAAAAATAAGATTCTGTGGTCAAATGTTGGCGAAGCACAGTTAAATGTGTTTCTCAGCTGCAGGACTTTTCAGAGCCTTTGATGTGCTAATGTGGTCAACCCCCACCCCCCAAAAGAATGCAATATATGGAGTCACCAGAATTTATCATAGAAGGCACTTTTCTTCCTAGGATACCTTAAGGAAATAGTATGTGGTTGGGGGCAGGGAGTAGGGAGGCCTGACCATGGAGACCTCTGTAGCCCTCATTCCCTGACACATTCCTGCCTGTTTTTCATGACCCAGCCCTACACAGCTCAAAGCTTCCTGTTCGTGTCACTCTTCTTTCTCTCTCTCCTTGGCTCCAGCTATTCTGTTCTCTCTGCCCAGCCTGTCCCTCTTCCCCTGGCTAATTCCTAGATAAGACTCAGTTCTGAGAGCCACTCTTCCAGTAAGCCCTCCCTGATCTCCAGGCTGGATCAGGCCTGTTCTGTTCCCATAGCCTCAGTACTACGTCTATCAAAGTTCATGACACACTGCTCAGTACTGAGCTGTCCCCAGGGCAGGCTGGCCACCACCCTGTGAGCCCCACCAAGGCAGGGCCAGCTCTGCTCCCTCTCTGGGACCCCATTCCCAGCACAGCACTGGTACTCACATTCTGGAGCTATCACTGTGCTTGGGGAGGAGTGGGGTGGTGAGTTGGAGGGAATGGAGTCTCAGTGGCCTCAGGGAGATGCATGAGGACCCTCCTTGGCTCCGGCCTAAGGCCTAGGCTGAATGTCTGTTCCTTGCAGGATCTGACGGGAGCATATACAGCCACTTAACCTACAGGATGCGCCATGCCTGCGGCTTTGCAGAGGGATGGAGCTCACCCTCAGTCCTAAGCACTGATGAGAATGTGGATGGCATGATGCTCCAAGAGCTGTACTCGGATATTCCACCACGGTAAGGAGACTTCATGGGGGCATGAGAGCATGGGGCTCTAGGCACGAATCCTCCCCACCATGGGAAATAGCAACACCACCCCAAATGGTATAAATGCAGAAAACATCTGTTCAGGTATGACCATCTCCTCACCCCTCCTGACCATGTCAATCCCAACGAGCCAGGGTGTGAATCAGCAGATGTCACCACAAGACACTAGAAAGGGAAGAGCTCAGCTCCTTCAGGCTGGAGTGAAGGGGTGGGATGGAGGGTTCAGGCCCCAGCTCCTTAGTATATATCCCTAAAGCCCAAATCACGCCCACAGGGATAGGAGTCATTGTGCCCAACTGCACTCAGGGCCATCAGGTGGCCCTGTCTCATTGGAGAACTCTTCTTTAGGGGCCTTTAGGTGCTCTCCTGCCAGCCACCTTCGATCACCCACTAGTTAGTGCTTGAAAAAAGAAGAGGGGTCAGGGCCTCCATCACTTCCCTACCAGGAGCCCCCTCAGGCCTGACAGATGGCCACGTCCTCCCCATCACCCTTTTTACCCTTTTCCTCCACCCCCAGGGGCACTGGGAGGGGCAGTGCAGTTGCCCTCTTCCAGGCCAGAGGATGCGTTTTTGCCTTGAATCTCTGTCCAGAGTGGCCCCAGGAACTCTGGAACTTTCCTAAACCTGGAAAGGCCACTGTGGAGTGACTTGAGACCAAGGGGTGCCTGGCAGCCTGAGATCGCTCCCACCAGCACCACCCGCACTCAGGGCCCAGCCTGGGAGATGCTCTGTCAATAGTGGCAGCTGTTGTTCCGAGCAATCTGAGACCCAGACTTCAGTGACTTGATTGCTCAAGTTCACATGGAACATTGAGGCTGAGTCAGGACCAGAATCTAGGCCTCAGTGGTTCTTCAGTGTCCCTCCCTGGGGAGTAGAAGGGTTTCACTGGACCCAGCATGACAAAGGCCTGGCCAGGTCCATGCCAGGGCAGCCTGTCACTGCGGACAGCCCTTCAGCTCTTGGGAAAAGACCCTCCACCCACCCATAAAGCCAGGTTCCACAGGGTCCTGAGGGAGCCCCTTCTCTTATAGTTATGAGGAGTGCATCGGGCCAGGGGCCACTCAGCTGTATATCCCCACGGATGCACCACCACCCTACTCGCTGATTGATGCCTACCCTGTGCTGGAGAGCACCCTGTGCTGGATGACAGGCAACAACAACAACCCAGGCGGATACCAGGCGCAGAGGATCCAGGGCCAGGGGGGCCTCTGCACCATCTCCATGGATGCCCTGCCCTCTTATGAGTCTGTGTGTGGGGCTGGCCCAGAACCAGGGCCACAGCGCTCCCGGGCCTCAGCCGGCCCCAACTGGATCCTGGTCTCTGGCACAGAAATGACCGTGTAAGCGCTAGCTAGCCGCAAACTACCAGTCCCTTGAGGCTGAACCACATTCTTCAGTCACACAGGAGTGCACATGCGTGTGCACACACACACACACACACACACACACATGCACACACATGCACACACATGCACACACATACACAGTTCATGCACACACACACACATATATACAACTTGTACACAAACACACTAACACATACACACATGCACACATATACACAGTTCATGCACACACACACATATATATATATATACAACTTGTACACAAACACACTAACACATGCATGTGCGCATACAAACATCTAGATATGCCCTACACATGTGTACAAACACAAGCCCTCCCCCACACATCCACACAAATTCATCTGTGAAGGTTTCATTAAAAATGAAACTCCTGATCTCCCATCTCCTCCCTGGCCTGTCGGTTATGACTCTGTAGACAATTCTGGGAGAAGAGAGGTGGAGAAGTGACTAGGGCTTGCTCCCCCTTATCCCTGGGCCTGTTTGCCCCTGCTCTCACCTGGCAGGCTGTGCCCCAATTGATTCTGCCTCCCGAAACTGCTCGACCATCCCAGGTCGGCTTCCTGCCCCAACCCCATTACAGGGCAACTTGTCCTCCCAATTGGTAGGACAGGCTTCAGTGAGGCTCAGCTATGAGCTGTACCTCTCTCTCAATTACAGGGCAAAGAGACACATCACCACCCTGCCACTTACAGGGTGAGGGACACGGGTCTGGCGGGGGAGGGGCTCAGGCACAACCTGGAGGCCCTCCCAGCCTGCCCTGCCCTCTCTCTAACCCAGTGCCCTCAGTCTGGTGGTGCTAGCGGAGTTATCTCAGAAGCCCCTACCCCAGCCACAGGTGATGAACAGGGCCCCTGGAGGGCATGGAATGGTGGTGGTGGTGATGGGTTACGGCTGTCCCATTGTCTACTAGTACGACCACTACCCAGGACTGCGGGTCTTCAAAAAAGGTAAAGGTTCTGAGGCAGAGGAGCAGCCCCTCGCTAAGTATGTGCCCAGATGACCTTATGGCCTGAGCTTGAATGGGCTAGAGCCAGACCCCAGAATCTGGCACTGCTGTCCTCTTGGGTGGTGGCTCATAGTTGGAAATTAAGATGACATGTTCTGGCCTTACCCTCTGGGGTGTTTGCAGAGACAAAGATAAGACAATGTGAGCCCCACTATGTCACTGTGAGAGGACCAATGCTTGCATCTCAGCCACACTGCCAGAGGCACCACAGGAGGTGTGTGGGACTGCCTAGGTGTAGAAAGGCTCCCAACCTGGCCCATGAATTTCAGGAGTTTAGGTCAGAGACCATGCAGGTAACAGAGCTGATTCCTGAAGACCCTGACTGCAAGGGGTGGTGGCTGAGCATCTTTGACTTTCTCCACCAGCATCATCAGCGGTAGGGAGCAGAGTCCTCAAGTTTACTCTGCCTCCCTTCCTCATCCTTAAATGACACTCTCCCTCCATCCTCTCCCCCACACTTCAATTCCTCCAACAAAGGGCTAAAACAATTCACTAATCCCTTTCTTAAGAAGAGGGATGGCAAAAGCTATTGTGAATTTCGTTTTCCGTAGAAATAGAATTTCTTCTGGTGCAGAACTGAAAGGAATCCGCACATAGGTTCGGTAGCACCTGGAGCCCCCGACTCCACTTGAGGAAGGGGTCTTGTTTACAAGCAGTTCTGCCCATCTTTGTGGTGTACTGTTTCCTAGGCAAAAAAATATCTGTCTGTTGTACTGTATAGCTTTTAAAATGCACTCCAGGGATGAATCGCTCTTAAACGCATCCTGCTTCTGCAACCCTCCAGAATGCTGGGGGCAAAAAAAACCCCCACGCCTCATCAGTCTCATCAGTGTTTGAGGATGAATAGCTTTTCTTGTCCCTGGATTAAGCGCTTAATAAGCTACGATGTATCTTTTCTGTGTTCAGAGTAAATATATATCAATAAAAATGTTGCAAAAATAATGTTATCAAAGAGTTGTGTGTATGGGGGTAGCTTCTGCCATGTGTAAGGGGAGGAAACAGGAAACAGTAGCAAACTGAAAATGTGTTACTCTCAAAATTAGCAGCCATTGAAGCCTTGTCATTTTCCTATTGACACAGATATCTGGGTAGTCAGTGATTTACAAGAGTTACTTTTTTTTTTTTTTTTTTTAATCTCACTGGGACATGGCATCATTTCTGAGACTTGGCCTGTGTAAATGTCACCAAGACAGGCTATGCTCTTCAGGACTTGACTCCAGAAACACCAGGGACTGCACACTTTACTTTCCAAGCAGTTGGTTTAACACCTGATGGCTTTGACTACCAAGAAAGAGAGGAAATCTGTAAATTGACTGAAATTCTCTTCCTTTCTCTGCTCTCCGTAAGACCTTGACTTTGGTCTTTGATCTCGTGGTTTAAAGAGGCTGGTTCCCTTCCTCTGGCATCCTTCCTTCCCACTAGAACTCAATTAGAGTCCACTACTATAGTCCTGGGCCCTCAAATCTGGGGAAAATGGAGTGTGAGTCTAAAGGAAGGTGCAGTCCTCAGCCCTGTTCAAGCTCACACTGCCATCTGCTGGCCACCTGCTGTCACTGCTCAAAGCAAATGAGTCTGACTCTGAAGAATGAGCAAATTCCCTTCTCCCAGTTTCAAACCCACTCCCCGTGGCCACTCCACTCACAGTTGTAGATGAAACTTGTCTTCTACCCTTTGTATGCTCCGTGAAGTTTAACCTAGTCAAGCATTCCATTTTCAGGAATAGCCCCTGTCCCCCAGCATCTCTCCTTGAGCACAGAATGATACCTAAGCCATCTCTGTATGCAAAATAATCACTTCTTTGTCCTTCCAAACACTATTGTGCAAAGCTCAGGTGTCACCTCCATGCTCTGGGGCCCCTCCTCCTGAAAATGAATGTAGCAGCCTTTATGGTGATGGCATCCAGCCACGTGCTGACCGCAGCCTGAGCCACCTCACATTGACACACAGTTCCAACAACAAACACATTCAGGACCCCACCAGCCCGGGGAACTGTTGGACTTGGCTTTTCCTGCCTCCTCCATCCACAACACACTTTGTGCCCACATATGGCACCATGTTCAAGGCCCTTCTGCACATGAGACTGACCTCCTCTCTCTGCCAGGGGCCTGAGGGGTGGGGGCTGAGGAGGAACTCTTGTGCAGGCTGAGTGGGCTCCTCTAGCCAGAGGGTCTTCAGAAAGGGAATCTGCAGCTGCTGGCATATGAGGGCATCACAGCATGATCTGCCACTAGGCCAGCATGCGTTGGGGTACGATCTCTGGGGAGGGCGTTAACAGCAT